GGTCTGTGACAGCCAGAAATCTTGCTTGTTTGTAGGTGACCAAATACTTTTTCTTTTCCACCATTATTTGCAAAAAAATTCTTTAAAAGTCAGACAAAATGATTTTCTCAAAATTTTTTTCACATTTTGTCTCTCATAGTTGAGGTCTACCTATGATGTCAATTACAGGCCTCTCTCATCTTTTTAAGTGGGAGAACTTGCACAATTGGTGACTGACTAAATACTTATTTTCCCCACTGTATTATCTTCATCCTTAACATAAGTATGATATTTACGACGGAGTATTAGGGCCACACAACAAGATTATTTTTATTAATATTTTGAGATTAAAGTCATAATATTACATATATTTTAATGCAATGGTAACTCCATGCTTTTTCGTGTAAAGGCTATTATGACTTTTCTCATAATATTACAACTTTATTCTCACAATATTATGACTTTATTCTCATAATATTACCACTTTATTTTCATATTATGACTTATTCTCATATTATGACTTTATTTTATGCAACTTTAATGTTGTAATATTGAATTTATTTTCATAATATTATGACTCTCATAATATTACGACTTCATTTTCATAATATTATGACTAATCTGGTAATTTTGACTCTCATAATATTATGACTTTAATCTCATAATATTATGACTTTATTCTCATAATATGACTTGGTTCTCATAATACTATGACTTTTATCACATAATATTACCACTTTAATCTCATATTACGACCTATTCTCATATGACTTTATTTTTGTGCGACTTTAAATATCGTAATATTACTTTATTTTCATATTATGACTACCGTATTTTTCGGACTATAAGCCGCACTGGACTATAAGCTGCACCTGCCATTAAAAAAAAAAATCCGCAAACATTAACATATAAACCGCACCGGACTATAAACCGCACCTCAACGTAAAAAAAAAAAAAAAAAAACAGTACAGCCAAAATTGTCATCAAAAAAGTGAATTCAACATCAAAACATAAAAAGCAAACCTTTAGGAAATAAAGTTCGGAGGAATATGGTTCATTTAACTGACCTTATTTTGGTAGCTTTCTTTAATAGTTTCTGGTCCATCAAAACGTCTCATTCATCGTCCTCCGGCGCACTGAAACCATTGAAGTCCTCCTCTTCAGTGTCGGGGTTAAACAAGCTGAGAAAAGCTGCGTCACACAGCGGTATCTGTTCAGTGTTGCTTTCTGTGTTGCTGTCCTCCCGGAGTAATGCTGGCTCTGAAGCTGTGGTGTCCTCTTCACATAGCAGTCCAGCCTTTCAGAAACCATTGGTGATGGTGGACTCATTCACTCTGCTCCACGCTGTTAGGATCCAATGGCAGACATCAGGAAATGACGCTCTTCGCATTCGGCCAGTTTTTGTGAATGATTTATCCCCGTCAGTCATCCAAGCCTCCCATTCACCCCTGAGGGCTGCTTCAAATACATGGTTCACACTGATGTCCATGGGTTGCAAAAACTTTGTTGTACCTCCAGGAATAACAGCAGGAATTGAGTTTGTTTTCTTGATGGCTGCTTTCACCGAATCCGTGATGTGGGCCCGCATACTGTCCAATATCGTGTCTGTCGAAGATCCGTCGTGTCGCGTCTGCTACTAGCTAAAACAAAATGGTGCTACACCTCTGGCTAAGCTGGCAGTACGGTCGCTCAACTGTCGACCGGTCGACGCGCCGTCATGTAGTTGTTCGGCGTTTGGTTTCGCACTGACCTTTCATAGTTCCCCCGAGAAACCCTGAGCCTAGCTGCTGGGAAAGCCCTCCCGCTCCAGCATACATCACTGCATGGGATTCCTTCCCCGGAGAGTGCAATGCGGGGAAAAAAAAGTCAGTGGCTCTTCACTCGATGTTTATCCACAAACTGGTCCTGGATTAACCTTTAAAGTTTTTATCAGTCAGATTCCACCGTGAAAAATGTCTGTTTTATCCCCTTTTATGAGTTTTTGGCCATTGACTATCTTTAAATCGCTGCTTCCTGGTACAACAGTCGGCTCTGAAAGCGATCGCTTTTTTGGTCCTTTTTTTTTCCTTTCTTTTTTTGCAGCGAGTGGTTGAAGCAAATGGAGCATAAG